GGCTGCTGGGGGCATTGATCAGCAAAGGTTTAGGGGTGCGGGTGGTGGATGGCACTGAAGGAGGTACCTGCTGCACTTTGACTGCTAGGGTCTGGAGAGTCAGACCGCAGCCACCAAAAGTCAGCTGGGGTTGGGCCTGCAGGCTGGCGCTCCTCTCGACTGGTGGGCTGAGCCTGGCGGAATCTATTTATATACCTGTGAACATCAGGGGATAGCAAGTGAGTGGAGTGAGGAGAGCCAAATAATAATAAGAATAATCATAGCAACCAACGTTTACCAAGCACCATGGCAGAGCCTGGTAGCTATTCCTCAATATCTGCTTTTCTTTCTTATATGGTCACATAACTGTTTTTGAGACAGGGTCTCACTCTGTCACCCAGGCTGGAGGGCACTGGTGCAATCATAGCTCACTGCAGCCCCCAACTCCTGGGCTCAAGAAATCCTCTCTCCTCAGCCTCCTGAGTAGGTGGGACACAGGTGCATGCCACCATGCTTGGCTACTTTTTGTATTTTTATTTATTTGTTTGTAATTAATTAGTTTATTTTTTGAGATGGAGTTTTGCTCTTGTTGCCCAGGCTAGAGTGCAATGGCGTGATCTTGGCTCACTGCAACCTCTGCCTCCCGGTTCAAGTGATTCTTCTGCCTCAGCCTCCCAAGTCCCTGGGATTAAAGATGTGTGCCACCATGCCCAGCTAATTTAGTAGAGACGGAGTTTCACCATTTTGGTCAGCTGGTCTCAAACTCCTGACTTCAAGTGATCCACCCACTTTGGCCTCCCAAAGTGCTGGGATTACAGGCGTGAGTCACCGCAGCCCTGCCAATTTTTGTATTTTTAGTAGAAACGGGGTCTTGCCATGTTGCCCAGGCTGATCTGGAACTCCTGGGCTTAAGGGATCCTCCCGCTTTGGCTTCCCAAAGTGCTGGGGTTACAGGCATGAACCACTGTGTCCGACCAGGAATGTAACTTTTAGCTGGGCACACAGCCGCTCTCCTATGGACTATATTTACCAGGTACCCTTGTAGCCTTGTGACCGCGTGACTAAGTTCTTGACAAACAGGGTGTGAAATGTGATTCTGGAAAGCTGATGTGGTTGAAAGCCATTTGCACCATGAAGGAAAGGGCAACGGTCTAGAGTTGGGATGGCAACAAGACAGAAGAAACCTGTGTCCCTGACATCTCAACTATGGGCTGCCACGTCATCCCTGGTGGCTTCTGCCTGGACTGCAGGTGAGGGAGGAATAAATTCTATCTTGTTTCAGCCATAATGAATTTGGGACTCTTTGTTACAGCAGCTGAACCTGTATTCTACAAATCTAAGTGGTCACTATGTGAGAAGCATTGCTAGAAATCATTACAGATAGCAACTCATTGAAAGCTTAAACAGCCCTAGGGGAGGTGTACTATTAGTATACCCAATTTAGGCCTGGCAGTGGCTCACACCTGTAATCCCAGCACTTTGGGCGGCTGAGGCGGATCACCTGAGGTCAGGAGTTTGAGACCAGCCTGGCCAACATGGTGAAACCCCATCTCTTCTAAAAATACACAAAATTAACCAGGCATGGTGGTGGGCACCTGTAATCCCAGCTACTTGGGAGGCTGAGGCAAGAGAATCACTTGAACCCAGGAGGGAGAGATTGCAGTGAGCCAAGATCATGCCACTGCACTCCAACTTGGGCAACAAGAGTGAAACTCCATTAAAAAAAAAAAAACAACCAATTTAGAGATAAAGAAACTGAGGTTGGGCATGTAAGTCTGGCCTGTAATCACAGCACTTTTTGGAGGCCAAGGCGGGAGGTTTGCTAGGTGTGGTGGCATGCACCCGTAATCCCAGCAATTCAGGAGGCTGAGGTGGGAGCATGGCTTGAGCCCAGGAGTTTAAGGTTATAGTGACCTGTGATTGCACCACTGACCTCCAGCCTGAGCATAAGAGCAAGACCCTCTCTCTAAATAAATAAATAAATAAATGAAAAGAGTTAAAGAAACTGAGGCCAAGATCATACATAGAGTTAAATGACAGAGCTGGGATTTGAACTCAGGCAGTCTAGCGCCAGAGTTCTTAACACACACAAAGTGTCTGGTCCTAAAAGAGTGCTGCAGAAACAGCTCTGGTTTTTGATTATTGATGATGATTATTACTGCATGCCTTCTCCCTCCCTCTAACCCAAAGCCTCCTTTTCCCCCAGGGCCGCTGGTACTTACTTGGCCACCACGGAGTCCCCGCTGTCAATCAGGGTAGGTGCTGGGGAGGCCCCCATCTGTCCCTCAGTGGTGCTGGGCGGGGAAGGGGTCCCTGAACTGGATGGCCAGGACTCCTCAAACAGCTCAGGGGAGTTGGGACCTGTGGCTAGAGCCTTGGGAACTTGTGGGAGCCTGGATCTCTGAGACCTGGATGGGCTCAGGGTCTAAGATTGGGGAAAAGCACAAAAAGAAAAAGTATGAGGCCTGATGGGTCATCCCTGCAGGGGAACCAAGACACACACGAAGTCTTAGTCCAGAGAGGAAGAAACACATCGATGGGGGCTCAGATGAGGAATCTAGGTGGTAGAGAGGGGGACAAGGGCAGGGCCATGGGGAGGGGAGAAGGTCACATGTCTTCCTACCCTCTAGAGGTCATTCTCTTGCTACTGGGCCGGCACTCAGCACTCTTTGAGGGGGGTCCTCACCTTGGGACACCAGGTCTGGCTCCGGGATGGCCAGTAGTGGCTTCGACCCAGGGGCGCATCTCCAAAGGGACTATCTTGAATGGAGAAAACTGGCAGGCTGCAAGAGGAAAGTGGAGTTCAGGCAGCATGTGATTTTGCTGCAGCCCTGGGGAGGGGGACATTAGAGGAGGGCAGAACCGGACAATTGCCATAGATTCCTGGAGGAGAGGGGCTGTCATTTCCATGAAGCACCGCTGCACACTCAGGATAGCGACAGTGGAAGGGTGAGTCCTGGGAGCCCGCCCCTGGAGCAGTCTTAATAGGGAGCAACTCAGGAACTAGTAGCCGGTAGTTCTCAACCCTGGATCCAGTCTAGGAGGGGCTTTTCAACGTTACAGACGCGCGGTTCCCATTCCAGACCAACAGAATCAGGACATCTATTAGTGGGGCTGGGCCTCCGCGTCTTTTTCGCAGCGTCCCAGATGATTGTGAAGTGGAGCTCAGGTTAAGAACCGCGGCTCGCCGGGCGTGGTGGTTCAGGCCTGCAATCCCAGCACTTTGGGAGGCCGAGGCCTGTGGATCACTTGAGGTCAGGAGTTCAAGACCAGCCTTACCAACATGGTGAAATCCCGTCTCTACTAACAATATAAAAAATTAGCCAGGCGTGGTGGCGGGAGCCTGTAGCTCCAGCTACTTGGGAGGCTGAGGCATGAGAATGGCTTTAACCCAGGGGGCAGAAGTTGCAGTGAGCCAAGATTGTGCCACTGCACTCCAGTCTGGGCCAACAGAGCGAGAGACTCTGTCTCAAAAAAAAAAAAAAAAAAAAAGAACCACGGCTGGACTTTATCACCGAGCATTTCCCATAAATTCTTGGGGACACGAAGGCAAAGGGTAGATGGACTACAAGCCCCAGGATCCACTGGGCTCCGCCTCCCCGAGAAAGTTCAAAGACAACGCCCAGGCGTGTCTGGGGGCCATTTCAAAATTAAGAAATTCAGATCTCAAGCCTTCCTTGGACACCTTTAGCGGAAATAATCCCTTGGGGCCACTCAGAAAGGGACATAAGACTCTTCGGGGACCCCCGGAATGCTGAAGGCTACGGCTGGAGCAGCCAACGGCTGTGGAGCATGTTGGGAGTTGTAGTTCCAGTGCAGTGGAGCCCAGGCGACTACAGACCCTATCCCGCCCGTCCCCAGGCTGTGCTGCTCTCGCCCTTGGTCCTCCCCAGCCTCCTGTATTCCCTGGAAGAGCGATCGGCCTCACCTGGGATCCATCCCGCGGCTCCCTCCGCGCTTCCGTCCGCTCTGCTCCTTCACCAAACAGGCCCCGCGCGCATCTCCGTCGCTTAGCAACGCCCTGTCAGCCCCGCCCCCCCCGTGCCCGCGCAGGCGGTGAGCGGCCTCCAAGGCGACCAATGAAAGAGAGGAAACAAAAGTACCCGGAGGGAGGTGCTTCACGAATGGCTGGGACGACTGCCTGCCCGACAGGGCGCGTTTGATTGGAGAACCTGACGCGTGTAGCAGTAATTGGCAAGATCGTGCACCAATGGGAAGGATCTGAGGCTGGGCCTGAGGTTAGGAGGTGATCTAAAGTACCCTCGCTTAAAAGTCCAGGTTTTTAAGCGCCTTCTTGCTGCAGAAGTCCTGTCCCGACTCCGGTCTAACCACCATTCTTTCTGTTGCAGGGGCAATGGCGTGGGGGCGGGGGCCGCTGTGTTCCCTCTCTAACAGCTATTCCCCCATCAGTTGGGCCAATCAGACCGTCCCGGTGGTCATCTAACCACTTACTTCTTGCTGCAGGAGCAGCTGGTTGCATCAGTTGCCAGGTCTGGGCTCCTGGCCGAGGTAGCGGGATCAAAATGAGCTATTTCGAGCCCCAGCGCGCGGCCCCCGGGGGGCCAGCCTGAACTGTTCATGTTCGCGCCCCCTGGCCGGTGCACACCAGAGGCTGAGTCAGAGGCACAGAATTAGGCCCGGCCTGCCGGGGGACTGGGCCCAAGGCCCGGCTGAGGATGAGGGTAGGGAGGGCCTGTTCTATGTCCTCCTGACATCCTGGCCGGGCTACCGCATTCCCCAGGAATCTGCTCCTAAGACCTCCATCTGCGTCATCCTCAGACCTGCCAGCGGGGAGGCAATGGATTAAAGGGACTGGAAACTCTTCTGTGGGCCTCTTGGGCTCTGGGCCCCAATCACCGCGCTGTGCTCCCCACACCCGCAAGGCTCTGCTGCCTCAGCCTTAGTTTCCCCTTCTGGAAATTGGGGAATCTTCATGACATCTTCTTGACAGCATTTGCTAGGCATCCAGCAAGCGCTTAATAAATGGCCAAGTCATTGTTTGGGTTTCTAAATAAGGCTCTCCTAATGGCCGGGTCTGGCCACGGTCCCAGTGTCCCTGGGCAGCCCTCCGAGGGGCCGGCACAGGGTGAACTATAAATCGGCGGCTGCGCACGCAGGGGCACTGCAACGCGGAGGAGCAGGATGGAGATCCCGGTGCCTGTGCAGCCGTCTTGGCTGCGCCGTGCCTCGGCCCCGTTGCCCGGACTTTCGGCGCCCGGACGCCTCTTTGACCAGCGCTTCGGCGAGGGGCTGCTGGAGGCCGAGCTGGCTGCGCTCTGCCCCACCACCCTCGCCCCCTACTACCTGCGCGCACCCAGCGTGGCGCTGCCCGTCGCCCAGGTGCCCGGCCTGGGGAGGGGGCGAACTCGACCACTTCCAATGCCAGGGGTCTGGGGCAGCCTGGGGTAGGAACGTGTGAGAGAATGGGCCTTGGGCGGGGTGGAGAGTCCGCAGCTCCGAAGGGCTTCCGGAGTTCCTGGGGAATCTCAGAGGCCGGCTCACTGCAGCGGGTGGGAGGTCCCCGTCGTTCTTAGGGGTGTGTGTGTGTGTGTGGCGGGGGGTCTCAGCTCCAGAGAATAGAAGGCCTGGGTCACTCTAAGGGGAGTCTTGCTTACTGAAGGAGGCTGGTGACACGGGAAATCTGGGGAAAAGGAGGCGGGCAGTGACTCCCAAGGGGAAGGAATGTTCTTAGTCTCAGGGAAGAGTTGAGAGACTGTGTGCAGTGGTCCGGTATCTCCAGAAGAGGAGGGGAGGGCCCTGCGACTTGAGGAAGGGTTCCTGGCCACTATGAAGTGGGGGAAGGCTACCAGTAGGTGCTGAGGTCCCGTGACTCGACTGGGAGAGTAAGCAGAGGATCCTGGAGACGGGGGAAGGGTCATCTCGGCGACTTTGGTGGGACTGGGGGAGAAGGGACCCGGGGCTCTGAGGAGGGAGCTGGGGAATCAGTGCCCTGGGGGGCACGATGACTTCGGATTCGCTGACACCAGGGGAGGGCACAGGTTCCTGACCTTGCAGGGGAAGGGAGCCTTATCACTGCAGGGAAGAGGGCAACCCCAGATATTACAGGGGGAGGGCGAATCCTCGTTATTCAGGGTGAAGAGGTACTGGGTGACTCCCAGTAGGAAAGCGGACTGCTCAGCTCCGGAGGCCAGAGTGAGCCGCGGCACGGAACCGACGGGGGTGGGGTCTCCCTGGGTGGGTCCCGCGAGCCTGGCCCGGCCGGATAACAGTCCCGCCCGCGCCCGCTGCGCGCAGGTGCCGACAGACCCCGGCCACTTCTCGGTGCTGCTGGACGTGAAGCACTTCTCGCCGGAGGAAATTGCTGTCAAGGTGGTGGGCGAACACGTGGAGGTGCACGCGCGCCACGAGGAACGCCCGGTGAGCCGCGGCGGGGGCGGGGTTGGAGCGAGTACGCGCGCAGCAGGGCCAGAGGGGCGGGGCCGCTCAAGCCTCCCTCCCCTCCAGGATGAGCACGGATTCGTCGCGCGCGAGTTCCACCGCCGCTACCGCCTGCCGCCTGGCGTGGATCCGGCTGCCGTGACGTCCGCCCTGTCCCCCGAGGGCGTCCTGTCCATCCAGGCCGCACCAGCGTCGACCCAGGCCCCACCGCCAGCCGCAGCCAAGTAGGGGGCTGGGCCGCGCCCGCACCCCGGGAGCGTCCTCAGGCTCCCTCTATTGAAGCCGATCTGACTCCGCCCAGCCAGATGTCCCGAGCGCGCCAGGAACTGTCCTCTCACCCACTCCTGGATTCTGCCCTGACCTCCACCCTGGACACTGCCTTGATAACCTAGACCCTTACACTGACACCCTCGCTCTCACACCTCCTCCAGCTTTCGGACCTCACACCGACACCTCGCCGGCTTCCAGACCCCACCAGCACTACCCTAACCCTCAGCCAACAGTCTCAGCCCCACCGACCCACTTTCTTGGCATATAGCCCCACTTAAGACCCCTTCTCTACTTCCTTCTGAGTCCTCTACGAAGATATCTGGGTACTACATTTCCATCCCTTCCCTATTTTGACACCAAATTATGGTGTAGACAGCCCTCCCCCAACCCCAGGCCTGTCAGGCACAATCCCCCCACCTCCCAAATGTCCTGGACTGCACAGACTTCCCACTCCAGACTGTCCAGGCCTGGTTCCCAAGACCTGATCCTTCCCCTACAACCAGACAGTCCACAAGGGCCCCGCTCCAGCCCATTTTCTGCTGTGAAACCCCAGCCAGCCACACCAGACTCTGGAACCCTTTTCTGACCACCCCAATTCTTGGACACCTATCCCAGGCCAACCAGAACACCCAACCCCAAACTGTACAGACTCTCCCACCCAAACCTCCCCAGACTCTGCACGAACGTCCTAGGCCCCCTCCCCAACTCTAACCAGACCCCGTCCCCCGAAGTCCCTTTGTCTTGACCCCCAAGTCTTCTTCAACCAGATAATCCTCGGCAACCCACCTCTCACCCTCCTCCTCTTCTCCTTCAAGACCCAGCTGAGCACCGGCTCTGATTCCCTACAGCCTTTCTCCCTGCCACCACTCCCTTACTCTTTCCCAGGCTCACTCTCCCAATAAATGTGCTAGAGCTCTGCCAACTGCTTTGTGTCTGGGCCAGGAAGGATGGACCGGAGCAGACACCAGTGTGGAGTTGGGGGATGTTTACTGGGGTGGGGGGACCTGGGAACATCACTGTCGTTCGTACATCTCTCGTAGGATCTTCATGCTTTCTGAGTAACGAAGCTGGTTCCGATGAGAGGCCTCCTTCCACCTGGGGAGGCAGAGGGAAGACTCAGCAGTTGCAAAAGGCCCTAGGAGGGGCAAGCAGGTTGGGGGACGCTCACCTCTGGCGGATGCGTTTCCAGCGCTGCATGTTGCGATAGATGAGTGTGGAGGGTGAGGGCTCGGGCTCAGAGGGCTGCATGGACAGAGAGGCCAGGTTGAGTAGACATTCCTGAGCCCCACCACATGTGTCCCATAACCCTGGGCCAGCCTGGCATACTCACCTCATCGTCAGGGGTGCCCTGCATCTCAGGCTGCAGTGGGGATGGGATGCGGGATCTGCAGGCATCTCCAGGTGGCCCGGGGGGTGTGGGTGGCGGCAGCTTGTACACATCACGACTCTTGCTGTTGTTGACCTCTGAGCCCTGGGGACACAAGGGCCCCAAGCCAGGCCCAAGAGAGTCAAAGCAGAGGGGCTGGGAATCCACATTCATCCCTCCTGCCTTTCCCAGCAACAAATGGCATGAGGGGCTCACTAAGGGACTCAGACAGGAGGCATGTCTGAAGGGCAGACACCTCAACCAGCCAGGGGGTCAAGTCCGCCTGCCCCAGGGACCCCTGTCTTCTCCTATCCAGCCCAGAGACTCCATCTACACCTGTCAGCCCAGGGAGTCACCTCTGCCTGCCTCAGGGAATCTTGTCTACGGGGTCACATCTGTGCCACCTAGGAAGCTCTGTCCATTTCTGACAGCGTGAAGGGTCCTATATGTCTGTCCTGGGGACCCTTGTCTACCCTCCTGGGCCAGATGGCTTATAGACCCCCATCCGTTCCTGCCCAGCCCATCTGCTCCTCAAGGCCTGGTGGCCACTTCTGTCTGTACTAAGGACCCTTGTCTAGCCCCTCGGCTCTTGGGAACCCCTGATCTTGGAGATCCACATCTAACTGCCCAGGGTAACCCTGTTCCCTGTCCCCCAGGCCAGGTGGCTATGTATGTCTTCCCTAGGGACCTCGATCCACACCCCAGCCTAAGGGTGCACATCTGTGTGCCTGGCCTGATCCAGGATTCATGTGAGGGACCTGTGTCTGTCTACCCCGCTAGCTTAGGGGCAGGATCCTTTAAGCCTATCCACCCACTGCCCTGGCACCAGGCTGCTGGGCTGGGGTCCACTACCCATCCCACCTCCTCATCCTCAGGCAGCGGGGGCAGGGGTGAGCTGGGAGAGCATTCGCGCTCGCGCACAGAGGGGCTGTTCCGCATCCAGGCACGGCAGATCGGG